CTGGCGGAGGCGGTGGTGGCGTTGGCACAGAGGTTGTGGTTGTGCCGGCAGCCATTGTTGTTGCACAGGAATGGAGAGTTTTAAATTTTTTTCTATTTTTTTGTTTATTTATGTAATGTGTTAAAATAAGTAAAATTTCCATTCTACCCTTTTGAATTGAGTTCAAATTGAACCAATTTTGACTTTGTGGGTTGACTAACGGTCAAATGGATGGAAATCATCCATTTGGACCTCTGCCGCATATTTAGTAAAGGTTTGGGACCACCGCTGACACAAATGAAAGGTTAGGGTAAAATGCGCAAAAATATGAAAGGTTTGGGACCGCAGCTGCAATTATCCCTAAAGTTTTAACTTGACCAAATATGCTTTTAATTTTTTCTTGTTTAACAACTAATATCTTAACCCTAATCTAAACAATTATCACTAAACTACCCCACTGCTGCAGGCAGGCCTCGTTATGAAAAATAAAAGGGTTTTGATCTTGAAACTGTCTCTCATTTGATCGAATTTCGGTTCATTTTTTTACTAATATCGATGATCAAACCAAACTTGTTACTGAAAAATGGGCAGGCTAGAGAAATTATGTTATAAGGACATTTTTTGAAGGTCAAACTAAAAATGATATTTTTACATGTTTTATTCTTTTTTAAATTTTATGTTTTATGACATCTTCTTTTGCTATTTATCTTATTAATGAAAATTTTGTTGATTGCAAAGAGAACTAGAGATTTTGTAATTCTGACAATGACTTGCCTTTTGAATTGAGGTGAGGAATTTGGATTGGGGAGGTTACATCAATGGGAATGAATAAAGGTGATTTAGATAAATCATGTACATATTTTACATAGATGAATTGATAAGAAATAATTCTAAAGACAAAGTGAGGTATGAATTGATTGTTTCATGGAATTCGTGCTTCAGGAGTCTAAAGGTTATTTTTAGGTCTTGACATTTTAACTAGAATCGAATCTCTGGAACTGAAATCAAACCAAAACCAGAGATTCCAACCTGATTCTAAAAAAAAAAAATTAGGACTCGAAACCGAGAACCGATAATCGAAGACTTGATCCGTTTCAGTTATTGGTTTCTGAAACAAGACGGTGGATACTCGAGTGAAACAGATTTTTATATAATTTTTTTTTTTTTACAATTTATAAGCTGGATAAAAAAAAAATCTAAAAATCCTAATTTGGGTAGTAATTAGTCTAAAACTCTAAATTCTAATCCAAAAAATTCAAAATTGGCTCCTACTTTTTTGCATCTCCCCACATCAGATTGTTGCATTTCACAAGTTATTACATGCTAATATTTACAATTTGGGCTTTTTATGAATCAAAAAGTTAAAGTTAGTGGTGTAAGTTGATGAATCAAAGCTTTCATTCTTTACAATTTGAACTTTTTACTTTCTTGCATTATTACAAACTTAAGTAATTTTTTAATTTTTCATAATGCAAGGAAATTCAACTTGATATATTCATTGCTTAGGCTGTGGTGTACCATTTTGTTATCTTGAGCTCGTGGTTATTTTTTAAAATATAAATCTTCATTTTTTATTCAAAAAGAGCGAGTTCAATATGTGGATCATAGTTTTTTGATGCTATATAGTCACATATCTAATTAGTATTTTTTATGTGAGTTCGTTTGAAGAGTAAAAGAATTTAAGCATTTTTCATAATTAAATTATATGTACTAGTATGCCTCGCTTATAGATCGAATAAGATTTATTATGAAAAAATAGTTTTTCTCAAATTATAATTTAATTTTTTATTTTAAATTTTCTACTATTTTCGTGGTTTTTAGTATCCATTATTTTGCTTCTTGAAAATTTTTAGATGAATTTTCTCTCTTGCACAAATATTTTCAAGTAGTAGCGATACTAATATGGCTTATATAAAAATGTTTATTAAACCCTTGTTTGGGCTCCATTTGGATGAGGTTTCAAGAAAAATATTTTTTGAAATAGTAATTTTTTTGAAAATGTGCCGTTTAAAAGTAAGAAAAAAATTTGAATTTACATGCAATATTATTTTATCGAAAAATGTAGTTGAAAATAAGTTTTGAAACAATATATTTTTGGTTTAATTGAGCCCAACAAGAGCTAAATCTATATTTAAGCAATGTTATGGGTAGCACCGAAATCAATCAAAATCGATGTTTCGGGTTTAGGTTTGGTTCAGTATTTACAAAAATACGAATAATTTCATTTACGAAATAACCAAAGTATGACGAGTAATTTCGGGTATTGAAATACGCCGGCCAAGTGGCCAACCCACCCAACACCCTAGACTATTTATTTTCAAGAAAATCCAATTCATGTACGCTTTTGAAATAATTAGTAAAGATTATGTACCACTTGTATATTACACCCTAAGGATCCGTTTGATTGTAAGGTTGGAAATGGATGGAAAGAAAATGAATTTCAGAAAAGTAATTGTCTAGAAATTATTTTGTAGGAAATTATTAATTAAGTGTGTTTAATTGGTATAATTTTCCACCCGAAATTTTTTTAAATTTTTTGTTCGTTTGGTTTTGTTTTACATGAAAATTGTCCATTAAAAATGATAATTTTTTCCACAATTGGTTATAAAATTTGTTTCTATTACGAAAAAAAAAAAAGCAAAAATTTTTTTCCTAAAAAATCATTTTTTTATCAAATTTTTGTTTTCATTTGACTTTATTTTACATGTAAATTGTCCATTAAAGTGAAAAAAGAAATTTACAATTGGTTATGAAATTTGTTTCTATTGGAAGGGAAAAAAAAAAAAAAAAAAAGATGATGGTAGAACCTGAATGGTGGGAAAGCATTTTCCCTATTTTGAAGGAAAAAGGCCGCGTGGATGGGGGAGGGGGTGGGAAAATTTTTTCTTGATCAAATTTGTCCAATCAAACACTTGTTTTGAGTGGAAATGAAATTTAAATTCCAAGTTCCATAAAAAATAAATGTAATCAAACAGGGCCTAAATATATTTTATCAGACGTGTCATTCTGTCTGAAAGGCCATAGTCATGGGCAAAATAGTCTCCAAAACTTGTCATATCCTAAACTTTTTTCTCTATAATTTCTTGCTATGAAGTTCAGTTTTACAATAGAAGTTCAATTTGTCATCTCATTTTGAAATGGGTTCTAAATGTCATTTAGAACAAAACTTATTCTCCAAAACTTATTACAAGAGAACAGCCAGGCATGAGACTCAAGTTGTTTTTGTAATGACCCGATCTATGTGTCTAAACAGTTAACTTATGTGCGTTTGTTATGGGAGGTCCTCATCCTATCTTACCTTTTATCGATTTCTATAGCATCCGAAGATTTTAACTCGTGACATTTTCCTTAAGATAGACTTAATTTGAATTCTGGTATTATTAATTGGGCAAGTTGTTCAATTAGTACTAGGATTCAACTTGAATATCTCATAAGTTAGATGTCTTGAATTCGAATCTCGAGGACGCAATAAAAATTTGTACTCTCTCAAAATGGTCAATGCATAAGAAAATAGTCGAGCACGAGGTCTGAATCGTTACATTTAATTTTGGATTTTTGGATTTATTTATTTTTTGTCAATTCAAAATCCAAGGAGAAAATGTCTTTTACTATCTCTTTACGGAATTTAGATGGAACCGCCATCAAGGACTAAAGAGATAAGTTTGATAGATGTTGCATACCTTTCATACAATTAAAATGTAGTGCACTTCAACTCTTTTTGATGCATTCTAATATTCAACTTTTCATTAATTAGCAAGTTTTTATTTTCCATTTAAATTGTCCATTGAGAGGATGTGAAATGACTTATTTACCTATTATATATATTCTTTTGCAAAATAATAAATGCAAAAGTACGGCAATTTTTTTAGTCATTTTTGAAGCACAATAACATTATATATTGGTAGAAACTATTGTCAAAGATGAGATGTACTATTAATGAAAGGTTGAAAATAAAAATTCAATAAAAAAAAGTTAGGAGTATAAATATTAAAATAAGTAAAGATTGAGAACCTTAAATAAAATTAAAATGTGGTGTAATTAATGAATTTTTTTTTTATGTAAATATAATTACCCAAATCAATTTCAAAACAAATATAAGAGAATCTCCAAAAGACTCTCTATTTTTAAAGAGCATATTCTGTCATTTGGGGAGTATCTTTAAATTTAGAGAGTTAAAATTTTGAAACACTACAACTAGCTATTATATTTAACACTTAATTTTACTACTCCCAAAAAATATTTATTACTTTTCTTTATCTTTTATTTTCACTAGCTTTTGTTTAGATTATTTTATTGTTTTATACATTGAAAATTGAAACATTTTAAATACATTTAATTATAGAGAGCGAGTTTGGCTCTCTAAAATTAAAATGTTAATTTAAAGAGTTTCTTAGAGCATAATTTTAAATGTTGACTCTTTAAAATAGAGAGTATCTCATATTTAAAAAGTCTCTTGGAGATGTTCTAATTACAATTGAATAATCAATTAAAGAATGTAAAACTTTAATAATAAGGGGATGATCCCTAGCTAACTTAATGATCTAATTCACGACCCTACAATTCTTCCTGATTTCTCCCTGGTTTCTAGTTAGGACATCTATGTATCCCATCTTCACCATTGCAGCTGCAAACTTGTGTTTCCAAGCCATTCCATTCTGGGAATTTTCCTTCACAATCCCAGCCGTTGATGGGCTACTCATAAGAGTCTGATCAGATGTTAACACCCCTTGATGATTCTTCAGACTTTTGTAGTATTGATTGTCCAATCTGTTTGGTGTCAGCACATCAAGTGGCACAGTTTGATCATTTGCAGCATTTGATGGACACTTTCTCTTCAATTCTCTAGCAAACATAGGATCCAATGAAGGATCTTGTGGACGAGTTGAACTGAAATTGTAGAGACGTTTCGAGAAGGAAGAACAATGTGAAACTCCAATGGAATGTGCTCCCGAAAGGGTCACCATGTCTTGTAACGAAAGGCCTTTTCGCGCAAACCTTTCTTCAATTTGTTTGGCATTGAATGTAGGAGGAGGAAGGTCCTGATCCGGCTCGTCTTTCAGGGATATTCTTCCATCCCGACGCCCTGATGGCACCGCATATTTTATTCCACCAACAACATGAGCACTGTCACGAGCAGCGAATGCTATGATATCTGAGCACGAGACTGTTTGTGGGCATATGGCCTCAAGTTCAGCCTTCGCCTCATCAATCACTTCATATCCACGCAAGCTGGGGTTGTTTGCTGGATTCTCCTTCTCTGCAGGATTACCTGGCGTTGAATCAAGCAGCACCGAAGCATCACACCCCTACAAAACAAGAAACGCTACACCAAATTAGTCTTTCTATGGCTGCAAAAAAATATGGCAGTCTTTAAAATATTCCTGTCATGTAATGATAAGCTAGCGAGACAGATGCTTCAATGCTTAACTCAGTGTAATAAAGTAAAAACGAAATAACTAAGGGCATACCCTAACAAAGCAATCATGAAAATGCATGCTAATGAGGCCTGCTGCTATGCCAGGGCTTCTTGAGTCAACTGTGTGCACTGCTTTCGTGACAATTGCTTCTGCAGAAGGGCAGCTATATTGGTAATAACCAACTTTTAGGGAAGCCAATGAAACTGTAGCCAATGTGCAAAATAAGATCAAGAAAATTAATGGGCTAAAAAATTTCACTCCACCAGTCATCATAATCATATACCTAAAATAAATCAAGAAACAATCGATTTTTCTAAGGAAAAACTGTGTTTGACTTTGTTAAGCCAAAGAACGATAGAGAAAGTTGAGTGATTGTATGTTGGGATATTTTTGTAGTATATATAGTGAACAATGGTGGGGGTGGGAGTACTGAATAAGTCTTTGTAATACTAAGTAAAGAAATCCGTGCGTAAATATTATAAAAGCTGCAAATTCAATTTCACTAATTTTGAACAACTCCAAGTGTTAAAATTCCTCCTTTCTGAGATCCTTCCATTGCTGTGGACTTGGTCTGTTTTCTCAGTAAAATTTATTAGTTTCTTCAATCAATTTATTTATTCATTTCCAGACAGGCATTGACAAAGACAACAATTGACAAAGAGAACAAAAGCAAATATGTTTCAAATCCACCCTCCCAACAAAACAAGAACAAGAAATATCAGAAAAACTGAATTTGGTGGATTCAGTTTGACTTTTTCATTTTGATTATATTTTATTTTGCCATTTGGATTGAAAACGTACGTAGTGCTAACTATTTTTTATTTACAGTTGTTGACAATACACTGTTAACGCGGTTGTCCTTGTTTGGCTTACAAAAGTAATTTCTTACCTAGTTCTAGTTTTATCATGTTAAACATCAATCAAGATATTCAAATTTATAGGTTGATATTGATAATTAGTGAAGGGAGAATGACGGTTTGATGATGAGTGATAATTCTATTTTTGTTACGAATTTTAGGGCGAATTTTAGGGCGTGTTCGGTAGAGATAAAATCATATTAAAATTGAAAAACTAGCATTTATTGTTAACTTTTATTAGACGAGTATAACTCAATAACGACTATATTTTCAATTTTAATAGAATTTTAATCATTCCCAAACATGCTTAAGTCATAATCCCTATTTCCGATAGAAATTATAAGCAAGTAGAAATAAAGAAAAAAAAAATTAAAATTCTTGTTTGGCTATGCTAAAGCAAAAGAGTAAAAATTGTGGTCGGGAGCACTAAATTCTTGTTTGGCTAGGCTTATTAAAAAGTAAGAATTATTTTTAAGTAACTTATAATTCTGAACATATTTAGATATGATAATTTTAACATGTCATGGCAGTATGGATTAGGCCAGTCAACGTGGAGATCCTTTTGACACATAAGGTTCAAAAACAATTGCAAAACAAATCCGCTGTATAAATTTGATACTCTTTCTATTTTCTTAAAATTTATTTCTGGAAAAATTAGACTAGATATTGTATTTAACTTTGTGACTTAAAAAATCGTGCCTTTCGAAATTTGATTAAATATCTATGTTCACATATAACTTTTAATATGAATCACATGTTGTTCACAAGGAACGATACATATATACAATCAAAAAATTGTACGCACAAATTATTAAAAGATACAAACATGCCTTTATGGTGATGGTGACCTATTGTGACCACGAGCAAATTCACGATTGGTCTAAAAGAAATTTTTATTCGAGCTAATATTTAAAAAAAGAAGAAGAATTCCACATAAAAAAAATTTGTTACATAATATTTTTTTTTTTATACGTTAAAAAAGTTATATGAGCTGAGGACCTATCTTATCAACGGCTAATTGTGACATGTAGTGTGGTGATTGTGATTGTATAACACAAAAACATTGTAAAAGGAGCAAAGATTAATAAAAATTAACTTTGAACAAAAAAATATATATTTTTTGAAACTTATTTATAGTAACTTTTAAACTTAGCCAAATATTGTTTATTTTTTCCTGTTTAACAACTAATCTCAATCTCTTGTTTGATCGATTCTCAGTTACGAATCTTCAAACATCTTTACACGTTTTCTTTTCTACATCTATATTTACAAATACTTTTCTTGTGTTGTTTTTATTCTTCCGGGTTTGGGTATCCGTATTGTCAAAGCAAAAGTCCAACTTCAAAAACTTATTTTCTTTAATTCCCTCTATCAAAATTTGTAAGCAAGTTAAAGCTTTCAAGAAGAATAGCATGGGATGAAAGTCTGAGCATTGCAATCAAGATTTCGTATAAAAGAAGAGTGAAATCGAATTGTAACTAATTTTTTATCATATTGATAAAAAATGATTGGTCAGAAGTACTTTTTCAAGTTATCAGAAATGTTCTTCTCTTCACAGTGAAAATCTTTCCCTTGCCCTGGAGAAAATATTACTTATAGTTTTCATATTCCGTGAGAATCGTAAGTAAAGTTCTCCTGCCACATCAATGAGTGACGCTCACTGTTGGCACGAGAACAATTTCCTTCAAATTATTCCATTAACAGGAAATCTAGTAAATAAAGACGCATCGTTCTACCAATAAGCAAATATGAAGACCTATTATTGGCACTCCAATGCCTTAGCCAGAGTCTTCCTTCCATGGCTACGGCTTATCCATCGGGAACTTCTCGTTATAAAGCGGCACATACAGAACAGGAAACTGCAGTTTTTCGTTCTTAGGATGCTCGAGGGTGTGCATTCTCAGGCTAATCTCACACTAAACGCATCCAAGGTGGTCCAGTAGTAAACTAATCATGATTTCTAATATCAATGCTGAAGTACGAACTCACAGTGGACTGAAAAATTATTCAGAATTTATTGCAAAAACTGTTTCCGTATTAAAGGGAAAAGTGTTTCGGTAGTTCACGGGAGGACGCAAACAACCAATTCAGTTCGTTCTTTCGAACAGCCTCGAACAACAAAAAACCCTCGATGCATTAATAAAGAGTACAATTAAAAGAAAGATTACTATGTGGACATGATGCAATCGATTGCTTGCTTGCAAATACCAGTCATTGTAGCCTCAGGCCCATAAACCTGCAACAATCGAATAAACGAAATTTAGTTGTAGATGTACATATAAAAGGGCTATTTAATAACTCCTCTATGCTTTTCAACTACACAGAAGAAAAGGAGAAAAAAATTGCATGTGAAAGATTTCATAGATTCATCTTAACTTTGATCTCAAATCTTCTAAATTTAACGGTATAAGCAAACAAGCACAGTATATGCATCCAATGTTGCATTTAAGCAAATGATTATAGTGTATGAATCAGAACGCAAGTTCAAGCATAGATCGATATAAACCAATAAAAGAATATGATCCTTCACCGCTACAAAAGTTCATCTGTTTTGTAAGCATGAAGCATAGGGTTGAGATCCACAAGATATTCCAAAATTGAAATTAAATTTTGAAATTGAAATTAAATTTTGAGTTGTACTAATTGAAGACATTGAGCTCTTGATCGAATTTCACAAAACCAAACTAAGAGGACAGTGTAATATTTGAAACTTAAAATTCCCCACATCAATTCTGAATACAATTATACTGGATTCATGCCAACAAAATCAGATTGTCCAATGTGAGATGAGAGAGAAATTTCTCACATCTTGCCTATGATAGAATTTTTTCCAATAGCATTCTTTTTGTTCATATCTCCTGTTGTAAATAGTTATAATATGATATTTTTGATAGAATAATATTTCAATTCCTGGCTATGTTATTTAGACTTGTGTGCACATTTTTCCAGCTCATGCTGAATTCTATAGTTGGATGACATTCTCTCCAAAATTTGTCCATTTTAGTGGCTCGGATAGCCCACTCTGATTGGAGTTGGCGTACTGAAATTTGACGCCCTTTAAGCCCATTTGGTCTGTACTTTGTTAACCCACTTTACAATACAATGCAGCATCCCATAAAAGGGAATGAGATTGGAGCTTCAAGGCAGTATAAACCCACTTTACAATACAATTGAAGTCATTTCATACCTCAATGGGAACTCCTAATTCTTCTCCCAAGGCACGCATTTTTGCCAAACCAGTCTGATAGTTGGGACCACCTCTACGAACATAAAGGTGCATTCTAGCTGCTTTTAACTTTGATTCCTGCTCAGTTAAATAAGAGAAAGAAATTCGAACTTCGATTTAGAAAAAATGAACTATTGAACTGCATGACAAAATGTTTAATTGAGCCAACCTTTTCCTTAAGTGCCCTGATAATCCCATTGAAAGTAGCGGCAACGTCTGTAAAGTTAGCAATGCCTCCTCCAATGAGAAGAGCTCTCTTGCGGCCATCAGGGTCTGCTGTGGCACACTATAGCAACAGCCACAGCAAGTAGTTCAACAAGACAAGTAAATCAATAGATAATTGTGAATATTAACTCTTGCAACACAAGCTTAATTTCTTACGTCGATAACTACTCTGGCATATTGCAAAACTTCTTCTTCATTTGGAGCTCCACTGTACTCGGCATAATTACCAAGCTCGGACGCGTAGCCCAAATCTCCAACCTTTGAAATTTTTAAAAGAAATAAAAATACAAATTGTAACGGAATAAAATCAATCTTTACAAGGCTGTACAAAAGAATATATCAGGATACTCACGGTATCAGCATATATTACACTTGCACCTCCTCCAGCCACCATAGTCCAAATTCGTCCTTTCGGGTTCAAGACAGTAAATTTCAAAGATGCACTAGTCTGCAACATTACATTAAATTATAAGATTAAACAAATGCATTCTGCTAAGGGGAGAGGAGGGAGGGAGGGGGGGGGGGGGGGGAGGGATTACAATTGGTGATAAAATTTGTTTTCATTGTCAAAAAAAAAAATCAGAACATGAGAGAAAAGGTTTTCCACAAAAGCCTTGAAAATGTGCAAGAGTGGGAGGAGGTGGGAAAAAGTTTTGCTAAGAAAATTAACCTTATCAAACACCTGAAAAGTTAGAAAATGGAAAACCAATTCCATTTTCCATGGAATTTCCACCCTATCAAACACAACCTAAATGTAATTACGAGTGGAATTTCCTGGCACGCAAGAGTACATTCAACTCTTTACCAAGTGAATGGAGGGCGAGGTGTATCAAGCTGCATCTCAAAGTAGCGTGGGCAACAGTTCAAGCGCTTTGGATTTGTCTCCCAGGATATATCACAAAATAAAAAACGAGTAAAACTGTTTGTTGCACTGTCAAGCTTGAAGCTATGTTATAGAAAATTTGTATTCTACGATGAAATATCCAACAGTGCCTCCCATTAGTAGACTTTCATCTTCAAAAAATTGTATTTGAACTGCTTTTTCCTTCTGTGGTGCTCTAATGCCAACTCATGACAGGTGGGCACAAGGGAAGCAACTCCACAGCACATCAATAAATTAGATACGCATTTCCTGGAAATTAAGAACTAGACATGCAACTTTGTGAAGGTATCTGCTTATCTCAACTGAATTTTCTTCCGCAACAAAGACAGAATTGGACCAAATAATAAATTCGCTAGTGAAAAAGGAAGGGAGTGCGCGCCATTCGTCCCCAACTTATGGGTTGGTTGCAATGTCATCCCATTTGGCAGCAAACTCCCCGACTTATGGGTTTTGGTGCGGATCAGTCCTTGTACGGAACCTGTTTTGTCTGTTAAGTGGGCACGTGAAAATCACATGACATACCAGCAAAGCCACCATCCTCCATTTTTCAAGTTCATATCAACTGTTGCCCCATCCTATTTTCACACACCATTTCTTTGCCTCTTTTAAATGCAGTTCCAGGAACCCAGTGATTTACAAAGAAATTATTTGTTAAGGATTGTGAAATGGGCATGGGAAAAAGAAACATATAGAACCGCAAATCATCTTGATAATTGAAAAAGAAAAAACACGATTGTCTAAAAATTGCACTTTCTTGGTGGATTTACACGTTATTACCGGGAAGAAGACGATCAATACACCCCACCACAATAAAAATGGTTCCATGGTGGTGGCAGAGCTTGAATCTAGATCCTCTTCATCATTGTCTTCCTCAAGGCCGGCCCTGGCCTAAGGCCAACTAGGCCATCGCCTAGGGCCTCAAATTTTTGGGGGCCTCATAAAAAAAAAATCTGGCCCACATCCATTCATAATCTGCCCCAATGCCTAAACAAACCTATGGGTTTTAGCTAGGAATAGACAGGAAGAGAAGCGTTGATTTGTACTCTCCAGGTTCGCCGACCACCACCGCCACCGGAGGATTCCAAGAAGAAAGAGAACAAATGGTCAAAGAAGAAGAAGAAGAAGAAAGGTTTGTTACTTCTCCATTTTCTTCAATATATTGCTTAGGATACTGATTTGTGCCATCAACAAATCCAAATAGATGTTCCCTTTTTTTCTCTATTGAGTGCTAGTGGCACCTATTAAATCTTAAGTTTAGTGTCAATGAATGCATTAGTGCTCTATTAAGGAATTTAAAGAGATTTTCAATTCCTGCCTTTCCTTTAGGACATTCTCCATCCTCACTAGCCTTAGTTGTATATTATGAGTTTGAGTTTTGTACAACACTGCTAGAATTCCCAGGGATCAACGAGTGGTAAATTGAAGCTGCCAGAACATATTAAAACAAACAGAAAAAGATAACTCTTCCAACATTAGATTGACTAGTCTTTGGAGTTTGGAGAAATTGTGCTAAAGACAGACCTTAAATATAGTTGTAATAGGCTTCCTATTGGGATTTTGATCCTGTAAGTAGTTGAGCCGAGGAGGAAAACTGGTATAGAGAACATATCGTTGCAGTAAAATTCAATATTTAATCAAAGTTTTTTTTTTCAATCGTTGGCAAGTGGTCTTTTGCTCGTGACATATTTTCTCTCCCTTTTTTTAAGCATTGCCACTCTTGCAAAAAAAAAATTATGTTTAAGGACCTCATAATCTCATATTGACTAAGAGAATTATGTTTAAGGGTCACATATTAATTAGTCGCCTAGGATCTCAAACTTCTCTGGGTCAGCCCTGATAACATGTATGATGCTTGGACCCGAGTACGAGTACGTATCTAAGTGTCGGATCTTTTACTTTCTAAAACGTAGGATACAAAAACATAACTAAAAATAGTCCAAATTTTGAACACGGGGCACGTGGGTACATCTTTCAAATTTCAATTTTTTTACTAATCCAATATGTCATCTTGAATAGACCAAAATCAATTATCTAAAAAAAAAAGGAAATGAGTATTGAATAAGGGGTTAAGACGAATAAAATAGAATTTTGAGGTTTAGTTTTTAATTATGGGAATTACTAAATGTTATATAAAATAGAAAATGGGGGAGTTGATTCCAATTTGGACTTAGTGGAGCACCAAGTAGGCACTATATGGAACCCATTTTCATTTTATACAACAAAGTCCTAAACCACTGATACAGAGAGAAAAAGAAGGGGGAAAAAAAGAAAATGGAAAGAAAAAAGAAAGAAGAAAAAAAGGGAAAACCTAGCTCCACCGTCTTTCTTCACCCTCTCGACGACAACGCTAGAATTATAGAAATCTGAAATGGAAAAGAAGAAAAGGGAAGGAAAAGGAAAAGGAAAAAAAAAAGAAGCAAGAAGAAGAAAAAGCAAAAACGATGGAGTATCTGATTGAAACTTGGAGGATTCGACACATATCTCATACTCATACCCATGTCGTGTTCGATACGGTTACTCTGACTATTTCGAAGAATCTGAGCATCAGAGGATAACATATACCTCTGAAGACTATCCACAAACATACTTACAGCTGTATGGACAAACTAGATACTTAATAGTAAAGTCACTTCGAGGCATCAACTATACCCCTAAAGCATCTCAAAAACCTTGTGCCACTATTGAACATGCACAATCACAAAAAAGTTCAATTTCATGACTGCTGCTATATACGAATATGCAACACGCTAAACTGTCATCAAAAGGGACATTTGTTGAACTATAAGAAGAGCATGGTTAAAAGTTAATCCCTCAGCCCAGTTATTAATAACATATACCTCTGAAGTCCATCCACAAACAGACTTACTATTGTGGATAAACTGGATACTTACTTTTTCATCCAAAGAGTGAATAAAATTTTCTGTCGGACTCAAGACTCTTCCAAAAGGCAGAGGAAACTCTATGGCACTCCACCTGTAAAAAGAATGGTTAAGCACAATAAGGCAACAGTGAAATATTCTCAAGTAGGAAATGAGTGGTTTCCACGTGTGAGAACAACTCAGAAACATACTTCTTAAAGTTTTTGAAGGCAGCAGTGTCATCCAACTCTCCCCTCATGTCCAATGGGTATGGCTCCCCATTCACCAGTGTAAATGGATTCATCTCAAGGAAACTGAAATCTAGATCTAAGGAGAGATTTCGAGACTCAAATTTATAACTGAAAATAATTTACTCAAAAAGATAGCTCCCAAGAAAATAGCTATTAAGCAAAACTGAGGTAAAGCAAAAAAGATATGTTAAATTTGTTTTCTCATTTAAAAAACAAAAAGAAAAAAAAGTTAACATAGCAATCCAAATTCTTTGAGTAACTCGGACTCAAAAAAATATACATATTTTGCATATTACATTCACAAATAATCCATATTAATGTGCAGTTTAAAGTAGCTTCCAAGTGAGGGAACTTCATTCTTAAACTTAAAATTATTGGCATTGCAAGGATCTCTCAATAGCAAGCAGTTCAATTTGTGAAGAACTCTACCTTGAAATACAGAAAAAACCCCCATTATAAAATCACCGATCTTCCCCCGTACCTGAATCAAATAATGAAAAATTAGGATATCATGCGAACAAGAATAGTTGTAAAAGAAAATCACTATCACATTGTTTAGGGATATGCAGAATGTGCGTCCGCAAGGGCCAAAGAGACATGAGAGCTTTGACCCTTGTGAAAAGAAAGTGCTAATAAACTAAACTCTGTAATAAACAAACGCTAAAATAAAAATGAAAATATTCCAGCATTTGATCAAGGATGTAAGGTATGAGTAACCAATTATTCTATTACAAACTAGAATTATTCCAGTTGAAACATTCAAATAATGGAAAAGTTAGACAAAATTCTTCCAAAACCTACCTCTAGGGGAAGTGTAGCGATCAACGGAGCACATGCCTCAATGGTCATTTGTTTTTCAGTTGGAAGGAATATGGTCTTAACCTGTAGAATGAGAAATTCGTGATGGCCCACTATTCCAAATGGAACTTTCTACATAATAATTTGAAAAACAATGTGGTCAAATGAGAACTAAAAAATGAATATTTATTTTGCTTCAGTTTACCTTGTCCCAGTTTTCTTCAATTTCAATGCCTCCACATTCTGAAAAGCTAATGGTACTTCCCAGCCTTTCAGAAACTATGGAAAGGTAATATTCTTGATCATGGGGGACAAATGGTTCTACAATGAATGTTGTTATAGGCGCTTTACAACCACCCATCTCAACCTAGAAAGAAGAAACTTCCACGTAAGTTGGCTGAATTCTCATAATTAGTAGCAAGAGAATCTCATTATTATAATTCTCTATCACCTCAACACCAAGTCGTTCTTTCACAAATTCAGCAACTTGTGCAAGATCTAAATTCAAAGCTACCAAGCCACTCTTCCCCCGTTTTCCAAACAACATATCTGGTTTGACAACCAGCTTTGTGGACGATAGCCATAATTCTTTGTTTGTTAACTCGGTGAAATCCGTTGTTTGCGTCACCTATGAAGAATTGATGACTCATACTTAAGAACCATTTGGTTAACTAAACTCATGACCAAGCATGTATCAAACAACAATCAATAGATTCAATACCATGGAATGGTTACACCACAATCTACTCAAAATGTAGAATTGTATATTGGCAACAAACATAGTTGCTGTTACTACATTTAAGAAATTCATTCTTGCTTTTATTGTCATTAGTAGAGTAACAGTGAACAAATTATGACATAAATTCAAATTTCACCCATCCTCTTGATTAGTGACTCACATAGAAATTATAAATTGTTTTTCAAGACAATGAATCCAATAACCCAACAAGGGGAGCGGGATCAATTTGTTGAATGTAACAGTATTTCATGACTGAGGACCATTATACTGTGAGTATATTTTATTATTCTACTATTTGATAAATCTAATATTGGCTTTATTCTTTTTACTTGAAATAAAAAATTAGCCGTGGATCATAGAAATGTTTTCTTGTTACCAATTTAAAGCACTCTGAAAATGCTCTATAACACTGAAGTATCTACCATGGATGAGTTTATTCTTTTAGCCCCTGTTTGACAACCATTTGACGGGATCCAAGGAAGGCAACAATCTATCAAGAGTTCGATGTATGTTGAGGAGAGGTTAAGAGTAAATTTGAGATCAAATAGAGTCAATAAAGCCATGCAATCACTTGTACAAGCTATGAAGTCCAAGAGGGTGAAGTTAACAAGTCAAAGACCAAGTTCTATGTAGGACATGGGAGCAGAAACAAATTGGAATGCATTGGAATCAAGAACTCAAAACTTGGAGACAAGACGGACTGCTATATGACCGCATAGTACAAACCTGGGTGCGGCCGCATGCACCTATACCGAGATCAGGTTGAAGGTTGTTGAGCGGCCTACGAGACCGCGAGCCATAAGCCTATGCGGCTACATAGTACATTGTTGGACACTTTTTTCCGAATTTCGCTTAGACTTCTATTTTAGTTAAAACTTTTTATAGTATCTTTTTTTATATCTTTTAGGAGCAATTCCGTTTTTAACTAGGTTTTATGAATTCAACATAAATAGGATTATTCTTTTCATTGTAAAAAAACACACAATTTGAGAGATATTATTGCGAGACATATTGCTTTATACTCGTTCTTCATTGAATTAATTCCGAAATTATCAAGAATTAAATTCTTATAGCGTTCAACAATTTAAGTAAGGTTCATAAGTTTTGTGAACACAGAATCAAAATATTGTTGGCGAATGTCTCAGTTCTTCGGTTCAACAATTTATTGGATTGAGCTTTTCAACATTGATTCTTGACTTTCTTTGGTTTTGATCTAATCTTTCGTGGGTTTGTAGCTTCAACGGTTCGCATTACCATTAAATTGGAAGAATCATGTTTTGAATAGTGATTTTAAGGAGAATGTGTGGTCAAGAGTGGGGAAAAATTTTAGGTTTACGTGCAAAATATTTTATTATATTAATGTGAGGTTAAATCCAACAATAGCCACCCAATTTTATAGTTAAGAGCCATATTGGCCACCTAATTTATTTTATTTTAACATGACAACCCACCTTTATACTTAGTGTCGTATTGGCCACCCAATTTGATTTTGTTTCACCATGGTCATCCAACTTCATACTTAGTGTCACATTAACCACCCAATTTGATTATATTAAATAAAGTTATCAGGTGGCTTGACTGAAACTAAGTATGAAGTTGGGTGGCCTAGTGAAATAAAATCAAATTGGGTAGCCAATGTTACACTAAGTATAAAGTTGGGTGGTCACGATGAAACAAAATCCAATTGAGTGGTCAATGTGAGACTAACTATGAAGTTGGGTGATCATTGGTGAATTTAACCTATGTGGTTGAAAATAAGTATGCAAAAAATGAGTTTGAAAACAATGGTTGCAGGGCTTATTAATCCATATGATGCAGATCGATCTTATTTTAAGTAGGAAGTACATATTCCACAACATTTTTCAAAAATTTCCCATCATAATTTAGTAACAAAGTAATCTTAATATGCTGGCCGAACAAACCAGATGACGATAACATGGATCTAGCACTTAACCAATAAAGCCAAAATGCAGAACCGAGACAATTATTCAAATCTTTAACAAAAGGTTCGAATATACGATCCAGACAAGTTAAAATGAGAATCCAATACATGAAAACCCATTTAAAACAAAAGATCTATTTGCACAATCATGATATTGGGCAAAAACATCAAAGGGAGTGTGATTGAAATGAATAAATACTTGAGCAGAGCGAATCTGAAGGTCGATGTTAGCCAATCGTTTCAAATGCTCCTTGAGAAGCCTCTTGGAATCGTACTCCCTGATCTTCTTTCTTGCCATTTTTAGAAATAATTGCAAGATAATTCAAGTAAAAAGCAATTCAGGGCGGATTTATAGATATGCTTTAGCTTATACTTATTACAGTAAAAAGAGATCTGATTTGATCTGAGCTTCGGCTTTGGGATACGATTGGAATTCACCAACCACAACAACTTGTGTATAGTGGGTGGGGGTTGGGTGAGGAATGGGCGACCTGAACAAGGAGATGTTGGCTGATTAGCCTGATTTGTTCTATTTCCTTTATTCTATTCAATTTTTTGTGAATTTATACGTGGATAGCATTATCGGGTCGGGCGTCAGCTCTGATCGCAATAATGCTTAAAAAAGTATAATGCTTTGTTACCATTTCTATTTGTTCAGCGGAAAAAAATTAAATTTTTAGTAGATTTTGATAAAAATAGATAAAATATATAGTTGAATTGTGAATTTCACAAAATATGTGATTAAAAATAAATTTTAAAAAATAGAAGTGACTTAAAAAAATTTTAATTCCAAAAATACTTTTTATTAATCTCTCACTTAAAGAATAATTCATATAATATGAATTAATATAAATTCTAGAATAGTCGAGTAGTTTTTTTTTTTTTTTTTTTTTCCGGTTGAATTCATTTTTTTTCATGTAATCAATGGTTCTATTTTCACATTTCCTAATGAAAATTGATTCACTCTTACTCCTAAAATTATGCGTTTACATTTGAGAAATACTCAACAAAAATAACATAGATTACGTTATTAATAAATATTTTATTAAATAAAAAATTAGAGGACTTTAATAAATAAATAACTTAATTTTCCGAAAAATGAAATTAATGCATGTACTTAAAATCCAAATTTAATTTATGCACAAAAGGCTAACACCGTTGAGATTTCTTTGACCAGAATTTCTACAAAATCAATTTTGCAACTGCATGTATTAAATCAGTATGAGCAATCTGTTCGTAGCCAAATGTAGCATATACGAAATTTGTAAATCAAATTGTTTATGAAATTTAAAATTACATATTTCATCCCCAACTTTTCAAAAATAATAATAATAATATTAAGCAGACTTGGTTCTTTTATACGATTTTCGTCCATTTGAAATGATAAATTTATCTTTATTTAGATAATTAAAAAGGGAAAATTTTATTTAGGGTTCCAAATATTTTTAAAAAGTGCGATGGGTCCTAAACCTTTCAAATCAGACATATTCATCCTTTATCTATTTTTTTTCTTCCCTCCCCAAATGAGGTTTGAAACTAGGAGAATTGGAAAATTTCCCTCTTACCACTCTTACTCCTTTTCCTATTCAAAATAGTGAAATAATTGAAAGAACAAATATGAAAAAAAAAAAAAAATTATCATCTTTTCCAAGACACCCCTCCTACCTTTCTTCTTACCCACCTCCACCCCTGAGTCCAAACCTGAAAAACAATCATTGTCTTGCTTTTCCTAATCTACAATTGATTTAGATAAGCTCAACGTTGGATTTTGTTAAGGGATATAATCCCACATCGAATAAAGATGTTGACACAGACCAATTAATAAAGATTTTGGGCTATTCCTCTTAATAAGATTGACCTTTTAAGATGGATCCTCAAATCTTAATATGGTATCAGAGCCCATTATGCTCTAACGAGCGATTCCATCCCGGTAAGACTCCAAAAATAAATGAGCACGTAGATTTCAAGATTGGTCTGCTCAAACGAGCCACCATCTTGCGGGGGCGTATTAAGGAATATAAATCCCACATCGAATAATGATGTAAACACAGACCAATTAATAAAGATCTTGGGCTACTCCTCTTAATAAGGTTGACCTTTTAAGATGGACCCCCAAATCTTAATATGGTATCAGAGCCCATTATGCTCCAACGAGCTATTCGATCCCGGTAAGACTCCAAAAAGTGAGCACGTGAATTTCAAGATTGGTCTGCTCAAATGAGTCACCATCTTGCGGGGGCGTGTTAAGGGATATAATCCCACATCGAATAAAGATGTTGACACAGACCAATTAATAAAGATTTTGGGCTATTCCTCTTAATAAGGTTGACCTTTTAAGATGAACCCTCAAATCTTAATAGATTTAATCATTTTGGAGCTGGTGAACCAGGTGGCTTGAATTTTATCACCCCCTAGGAAACTACAACAACATAGGGCCCGCTGAGGAGATTTGGGTACAGGTTACGAAATCTTTTAAAGTGTCAATTTTGAAAGAATCCAATTTTAGGCAAGTTTTAGTAGTAGTTTTTAAAATCGCACATCTCATACCTAAGAGTTTATTATCCAACAATTTCTTAAAGTTTTTAAAAGAACAAAATCATATATATGCAGTATGTATAAATAATATGGAGTAAATATGTATGTCACTCCTTACGTTTCAATGTGACTTTATATAATTTACTCAAATCATTTTTTTACTGCGCATGGACTAATTATTGTTGTTTTGAATAAGCTCTTGCTTGACAATTATTTTCTATTGAATTATAAGATGAAGAAAAATGAAGAGGAAGCGTTTGGAGAGAATGATGAGCAATTTCTTTTCTTTTTGTTCAAACGACATTACTTTTTAGGATAAATTTGGCAATATTAGTTTTAGACTACATTAATTTTTTGATGGGTTGAAAAATATAGCCCTAATTAAACTACATTAATTTTTTGAGGAAATTACATTCACATAGAGTTTTTAAGTTTCCAATTCAAAAATAAGATTGAAAGAATTTTTGTTCAAAAATCAGATGATAATTATCTTTTAAATATTATTAATATTATAAAATTATATTTATCTACACACCTACCCCAAATCCACCCAGCCCCAACCCGTCAATCTCATCCCTAAATTTACACCCAAACCCTAATAATTTCTCTAACCCTTCTCTTTCCATCTTCTCTCTTTGTACCTCTCTCTCTACACACCCATTCTCTTGATTTTCGGCGTTGGTCCGCTCCTCTTGTAGTGGCGCAACAACCATCACGCACAACACAGCTATAGGCAGTATCGCTACACGCAGATCCACCATTGTTGCCCTTTTACTACCTCCAACTTGTCGCTTTGGAAAATATTTGCTGATTTTGAAGAGGCCCAATTATATGCTGCTACTCTGGCCCAAACTTTTGGCCCAACTAACTGGTCCAACAAATTAGAAGAAACTGGAATTGTGAACTATATATAACTTCAAGGGTTTCTCTGCAATTATTAGATAGACTTTTGACTTTAAGTTTTAAGAGATATTTTCTCTCAGTTCACGTGCCGCTGCCTTCGTCTTTTCATTTTACTCTCATAGAGCAGTGCTCCTCTTTTTCATTGTTCTCTGTAAATTTGGTCTCCATTTTCTGGTGTGAATTTGTGAGATTTGAGAGTAGAATAATGTACTCTTCTGTGAGTCCATATGTGTAGTTAAAGGATTGTAAATATTTCTACTTGTTTTGTGGTTTTTGTACTACAATTCGTTCTTGCCTATTTTTGGGTAATTTTAGTGGATTTGAGCTTATTTATAATGGATGCTCAACGGGGATTAGGCTTTAGAAGTGGTCGCCGAATTTCGGGGCCTTTGGGCCGAAAAATCTTGTGTTCTTGTTATTTTTGGTTGATTTATTTTCTGTTCTTGTTTACAAATCGAAACATAAAATCGTATTTGGGACCAACACACATGATCTTTAAAATGGTAAATTTCTCCGTCATTTGGTTCAATTTCTTCGAAGAATTATACAGACTACACATATGGTTTTTATACTCGTGAAAATCATGAGTATAAGGAAGGGACGCGACATAATTTTTCTATTCCAAAAAGCATTTGGAATAGTGAAACATATCTCATTTTTGATACGCTTTTGAGAAAGAGAGATTTGCTTAATAATTGAGGGATATTTTATCTTTTCCTCAATTTTTTGAAATTTGATTTCTTCCTTTAAAAATTGAATATGTTGTTTTTTGAAATTAATATTGTTAATAATTTTTTAAATGGAAGCTTCTTTCTAAGTATTAACATCTTTGTAAGAATGAGGATTTGTAAATTTAAAGGTAATTTCTTGACCAAAAACTTCTGTAGTCAATCCTTTTGAATCAGCTTGAAAATGATAAATTTAAATAATAAAAGGAGTTCCAAGAATTACTTATATAGATAGGTAGAAGTCTAAAATAATTTGAATAACCTATTGGAGATTTTCAAAAAGTTAGGTGATTTTATGAAATAATCCTATTTTTATGATATGTCTTGATTTTTCATATAACATACATGGAAATTCGTTAAAAAATTATAAGAATGCCATCTAAAAATTTGGGTGTCAAAAGGATATAAAAAAACATTATTTATGGAAAATATCTTGCTAAATCTTAAGAATTTTTTTATAAAAAATTAACAATAAAATATAAAAATGATATACATGTGAGCTACCGTATTCGAGGATATTGTACATACTGCAGAAGACATCACATCTATTAAAAAATTCATACGAGGCCATTTTGTTAACAAGTTTATGCTTGTGTGAGTTAACATATGTTAGATCAACTACAATAATCAAACCACTCTATATAGGGAAGCTTTAGAAGAAGCAATATGTAGAGGGCCTTGTAGACTTCCATTTGCAACTGGAATCACTTGAGAGTGAGTGAGATATATGACGTTGAATAGCGTGCTTGAAATTATGTTTTAACTCTTCTATATAAAGATTGAAACTTCTGTTCTACAAGATTCTACTACAAGTTAAGGGGAGTTTCTCCACCTAAACTCACTGTGTTTCTGCTTAAACTTTTAAAAGTTATCTAGTTTAATGTCATTTTAGTTTGGACCAAAAAGTTTTCCGGTGTCCAGAATGCAACAGTTGCTTTCATTATCAATTTACAGAATGTAAAATATAAATTCTGGATTGGGAGAAGTTAGAATCCAGTGAGGTACCAAAAGGTTGTTCAAATAGATCAAAATATAGGAACTTTAAATTAAGGCTCAAATGCTGTAAACCGATTATTCAAAAAGCTTTTCCATGTTATTTAGAACATATTTGAACCTAAAAACGAATCAAATT